AGTGGAACAGCTTGCCTCCAGAAGTTGTGAGTGCCCCAACACTGGAAGTCTTTAAGAAGATGTTGGATAGTCATTTGTCTGAAATGGTATAGGGTTTCCTGCCTAGGCAGAGGGTTGGAATAGAAGACCTCCAAGGTCCCTTCCAACTCTGCTATTGTATTGTATTGGTGCCAATCAATATAGAAAGCAGATGCCCTACAAATTGGCAATCTCAGATTTATCTTGGTGTTATCTAATCCCATTGAGGAATTCTAAATGTTCTGCCTTCCCCCACTTTCAATTTTCCCTTTTTTCTTGTCTCTTCCAAACTCCCAGAACTCTTTTTCATATCTGCACATCTACTTTATTTCCTGAACAGCAGAGATTGCACATTATAAGATTTCTAAAAGCTATCATTCTAGCATTAGAAAGACCCTTTGACTGACCACTGTCTTCAAAGAAATAGATAATAATACCGAAGGAGCTTCCCCACCTCCCTCCCAGCTAGTCCTTAACTGGGCAGTCATTCTAATGGGATATTATCTATGCAGCCCCATCAGATAGACCAGACCAGGAAATTAACTCCACAAGAAGGCTAAAACTATTATTACTGAAAATGGGTATAAATAACAAAACTTTGCAAGTCTGATAGCGCTGTATCTTTTCCTCTTCTCCTCCATATACTGTATTTTTTGCTCCATAAGATGCACTTTCCCCCCCAAAAAAGTGAGTGGAAATGTCTGTGCATCTTATGGAGTGAATATGTGTCAATGCTGCCTGGAACAGATGATCGGCAGTATTCCAAGAGGCTGATCCAACCGCCAATCAGCTGCTTGGCACCGAAGGCTCCAGCATTCCCCAGCGGAGGCAGCAGTGGCAGCGTTTCCGGTCAGCCAGCCCACTGATTGGTGGGGCTAAAAGAGGCCAGGATCCAGCTGTCACTCAGCTGAGTGGGCGCAAAGGAGTAGGATATTTTTCTTCTTCTTTTCCTTCTCTAAATCTAGGTGCGTCTTATGGTCAGGTGTGTCTTATGGAGCAAAAAATATAGTACTTCAGTGAACTCTGGCGGTGTCTGCCTGAGCTGCTTCTGAATGCTATGTGGTTCTGAAATTTTAAAAATGTTTCAGTTTTGTTGTCTAGATAGCAGGTAGCCTATAGGCCTGCTTTGTTAAAATCAGCTTTGTTATTCCCTGCAGCAGGGCTGGTACTGCAAGTTGGCCTAATTGGATAATTTGGAGAGTAGTATACAAAGTGATTTTGTTTTTCCCTTTATTTCTCCTCAGTCAAGGTGCTGCTTCTCTTTGGGCCCCTGATACTGTCATTCCTCTGTATAAAGAAAGATGTCATCCATCCAGGGATGAAATGCTACTGGTTCGGACCGGTTCGCCTGAACCGGTAGCAAAGATGCCAGCTGTTCACCTGAACCGGTAGTATAAAAGAATGCAACCGGTTCAGGTGAACCAGTTTTTCCAACGATCAGCTGTGCTGCGCGATTTATATTAGCTAGAAAGCAGGATTTCTTGCTTCTAGCTAATCTAAATTGCATTGTACAGTGGATTCCCCCCCCCCTTTCGCTGTTTGCTTACCTTACTGTTCGCTTACTCACTTGCCAGGTGCACTCGGTAGCAGGCTCCACCCACCCTCCTGGACATCATTTTGATGCTCTGCACATGCGCAGAGGTGGCACATGCAAAGTAAGCGCGAGCATGTGCTCATACTGCTACCAAACAGGTAGCAAAATTAAGTGGATTTCAGCTCTGCATCCATCCAGAACAGAACAGAATAACAGAGTTTCAAAGACTGATCTGGACCGAACCGGGAGTAACCCACCTCTGATGCATACCCCTATAATGTCACCAGGTTTTGTTTAATAGCCAGCAAGATTCAATAGTGACTTTATTAGACACAATTTAATTAAATTAAACTTCTTCCAAGTTTAAAAGTAACAATAACTGTTAACCCTCTTTCTTAACTGTTCCTAGCTTTATTTGTGAAGGTCTTAAACGAAGCTTAGCATTAATAGTCTCAATATTCAAAATGATTTACCTGAACTACAAAAGTGCTGACAGTCTTCAATTTATTTTTATTGCATTTTGTTTTACTTATTTTATTTTATTCTTTATATTAAGTCAGGCTGATCAATGAGCAAAATAAACTGTCTTGAGCTTCAACAACTGTGACAATTTTTTACCTAGGTGAGACCCAAAAAGAATTATTGCAGGCAGCACACCTGTGGTGTATTCTGTGATTGTTCAATCATTTCACAGATTGTTTTTACAGCTTTTCCTTCAATTCTTGCAATCCATGGTACCATCCTGATGGCATAGTTAAATCTTTTTCTCCTCTCCACTAACAGCAGCCATCTGGCATTACTTTCCAATAAAAATCAAATAATGAAAAGTTATTATGAAAAGTTGGTGCCATGGAAAGGTTTGTTTTGACTGTGTCAGCTCAAAAGGTGTCACTCATTAGCTGAAAGGAAAATAACCAGTTGAACTACCCAAAAAATGAAATATTGTGTATATATATATTCACCAGTCATAACAAGAAGATGTAAAGCTGAAGGACAAGTGGAAAAATCAAGTGGGACCGCTTGCTGAGAATAAGAAGGTAAAGTGGCAAGACTAAGAAAGGAATCAAGATACAATGCACATCTTTACTTCTACATTCATCATTGGAGATGTGACGTTCTCTCAAAGGATCGGTTTAGCTAATTCCCTAAGGAAAAATTTATAACAGTTATAGACAGCTCTTGCTTGATATTATAGAAAGACTGGAAAAGATGGTAGTTCTGAGGTGAAATATCATTTTTTTCCCCAGAAAGCATTCCAGTTTAGTTCCATTGTATTCCTCCTGACGAGCTATAAGCATTTATGAAAACATACATTGGATTTTTCGATATAATGCACAGAGTTGCATAGAATTCTACACAATGCGGCCTCATTCCTTTTCAAAACTGCACAAGGAAAACAAAAACTCATAACAGGGACATCTATCAGTGCTCTGAACAGGGACTTCATGGAATGAATGAGCTCGCCTTCTTCATAGCATTTGTGCTGCTGGTGTCTAAAAGAAAAAGTCCCAGAATCCTGGACCATTTTGTATACTATTCAACTGTGAGAAGGCTGGAGGCCAAAGGATTCTTTCCTGCACAATTTCATTTTAAAATTACCTTGACATTCATTCTTCCACTTTGAGGCAATGACATTTTTTTCTGTTTTAAAACATCATATGGAATCATTAGATAACCCAAGCACCGCATAATGGGCTGAGCCCCTGTTCTTACCTCAGCTCCTGCCTACCTAACCGTTCGAAAGCATGCAACTGCAAGTAGATAAATACTGTAGGTACCACTTTGGTGAAAGGCAACAGCATTCAGTGTGCCTTGGTGTACAGTCACGCCGGACACATGACCACAGAAGTATTTTCAGACATCACTGGTTTTCTTGGCTAGGAAACAGAGATGAGTGTCAGCCTCTATATCACTTGCTTGCTATCAGCTGCCATAGTAACGGGGAGGGAGGGGTTTCATGGTATTTGGGAGGGGAATCATGCTGGTGGAGACATCTCGAAAGGGAGTTTTATTCTTACCATCTTCTGCGCATGCTGAAGGCTCATGTTTGGGTTTGGTCAATGTCAACCATCTTTGCATAACAGCTAGACACCATTGGAGTTTGGACATTTGAGCTGGGGTAACTGGCGGGGGGGGGATTTGGGTAAACGTTTGATATGTACAAGTTTATGCCTTTTTGCCTCAGATCTTGCTTAATGTCAAGCGTGCCTCCTTCAAAATCCAAGAAAGGAAACCCCCAATTCCATTGTTTTAGAGAAAAAGTACTTTTACTGGATATGAAATGAAACCAGTGAAAGTGAAGCAAGATCTTGGCCCAAACCTGTCCAAACCGTCGTTCCTTCCGGCCCCCACCCTTAGAGTCAGACACGGCCATACAAGTACAAGTTGGGT